AGATTTCCAATAGATTTCCCATACACATTACCAAAAGCTGGAACGGGTTACCGGGAAGAGTGGAATAGATTACTGGGAAGAGTGATTTGGAATGCACTGCCTGAACCGGCGGCGGAAGCAGATTCGATAGTAGGTTGCAAAGGGAATTGGAATAGGTACTTGAAAGGGAAAAATCTGCAGGGCTATGGAGTAAGAGTGGGAGAGTGGGATTAGTTGGATAGCTCTTTCAAAGACTTGAATGGCCTCCTTCGTGCTGTGAGATTCTGTGATTCTAAGAGTGGAACGGAAGACTGCTTGAGTCCAGGACTCTACTCATTTAAGAAATAGCTTAGTGTTGTAATTGGAAGCTGTTAGGGTTGGGATCCTTCACTCAAAACTCTAGCGATAAAAGAGAGTGACATCAAGTGATTCAAGAGAATCAAGTCCAGACCTGATGAGACAAAAGTTTCCTCTCTCCCAACTGCTGTAAAATTCCTACGTGTGACGGACCGGTTAGTCTAACGGGTGTCAGGCAAGTCTTGTTGCACAAAAATACTAATTAAAAATAATAGAAATGCCTGATCTTGAGTACAGGTATGTGCAGCAAACTGTACTTGCAAACACATGCCCAGAGTCCTTTCTCTTTAAGTTTGCAATTCAGGAAGTAATAAAGAATGTGGGTTGTTATTAAGCTCGATCATGTAAAACAGCCCCCAAGCGCTTCACAAATAATTACTGTTTTTCTAGGAAAGCGCAACAGCAATTTTGCACACAGCAATGTCCCACAAACAGCCATGGTGTATGTGAATGAATAACTTATCGGACAGATTTCTGGCTAGGAAATGGGGAGGAACTCCTAGCACATTTTTATAGGGCAATTGGAAGCTTTCACATCAGCTGAATAGGCAGATGGGATCTTGCTTTTAATGCGTTCGGCTGAAAAACACCATCTCTAACAATATGGCCATCTCTAATCCTGCACTGGATTGTAAGTTCCAATGTGAGAAAAACATATCTTTCTGCCTTAGAAGTGAATCGTGCTACCAACAAATGTAAGGAATATTATTTGTTATTATTTAATAAGAAGTACAATAATACAAGCGACAGGAAAACAAGCAGAGAACTGGGATTAGAGTCATCAGCTCTAGAGGAGATAACTAATAGCTTTTATCCCCCTGCAACTATTTATGATGCCATGACTCTCTGTAATTCACTCGCAAACAAAAGCTTTCTGTACGATACGATATCAGGAATCCAACAACAATTGTGGCTTCACAGAAAAACACGGTGGCAGATCAGAGCTTTGTGAAGGAGATAATGCATTCTCCTTGTTCCAGCCAATGCGATACATTAACGTTAGGTATCTGGGCGATGCCAAGACATATCTCTCTTGAAGACTTAAGTTTTCGCATTTACAGTGTGATAGCGAAAACAAGGACTGACGAGGCAACTGCTCACAAGTCCCTCGAGCAACCCCACGATAAATAAGTGAATCAAATGCAAGGATTATTATAATTTTCAGAACATTCTTAAAATCAGTCTCAATCTAGAGGCTGGGAAGTGCAGAAAAACAGCTTCCAAATTGAAGGCAACGTTTTCCACAGCTGTGGGAGGGAGGGTGAACTTTTGAAAAGTTCTCTGTCATATTACATTTTAAGGCAAATTGTAAGGCAGAAACTGCAAGGACTTCAGGTGTGTAACTACACTGACAAGCCTAAATATGCTCAGCTTTGGTTGTTGTTTGTTCACCGGCTCTCTCTACCCCTGCCTGTGCTTTGCCCTTTCAAATTTACTCACGGCACATCCCGAATCTCTTTATCGATCTTATTTCTCATCCCTGCACTGTTCTCATTAATGACGCTGCTGAACTTTGCTGGAAAATGTCACAGTGAGCTACACAATCCATTAAGTGTAACTCACACAAACGCTCATTGTCCCAGACACTGTGAGAGAGAGACACGAAGACCAAAAAGTCCAAATTAACCCTATTTTATATCACCGCCCACACAATTCACTCTCCCTCCCTCTTGCATGTTTCTGCAAAGGGCACAAACCTCTGGGCCGGGCCTCGCAAAACCCAAAGCCAACAAACAGCATGTGAACTAATATCTTCTCGAGGATCTACTTAATGACTTGATATATGCCAAGTAGCTGAACCAAGCTAACAAAGTATTTCAGAAACCAAAACACTTTTTCTTAAGAGAAGAGAAACCTGACACCCACACTGGAAAATCTGTGGCTTGTTTTCCTGGAGCCGGCAGGAAAATGAAAGGTTCACAGTGCGATGGGGGATCGAATCCCAATGGAATCGTCATTTGTGTGTTATTCCCTCGGCTCACTGACAGCCTGTTGCAACACGTCAGTGGAGCTATCTGCAAGATTTCAGTAAATAAGCTATTGTAGCCATCAAAGCAACCCCTACAAGGCAATGTGCACTTTCAAGACCATTGCAACACACTGGTAAAATGTTAAAGAATGGACACCTTTGTTAGTAATGAGACCTTTTGGTTATAGGCATCCTTTTTGGCTGCAAGCACTATTTTTATGAAGCCCAATGCATTACATATAATATTAATAATATTCCTTGCATTTGATATAGCGCCTTATCATGACATTGAGACGCCTGAAAGTGCTACGCAGGAAGATATTGCAAAGTGGATTGACTGTATTTTGTGGGCTGTACTTCCAAGCTCAAAGATCTTCACCCTCCCTTCCTTGTTTTGCTGTGAAAGCAAATCTATTAAAAGATTGCTCCAACTGCCGTTGTGTACAGTATTAGGTTGCAACAACCTGTTTACGATGTGGTTCAGGCAGTATGAAGCGCTGACAAGAGACATTGTTTGAATCCTCCTGTATTTCTGAGGAGGTTTAAGAAAGAAACGTGCATTATTCGATCTATTCACTGTAATCGCTGCTCCTCGGGAATTAAACCAAGTTGTGTGTATCTGTTCCGTTCTATAATGCAACCGATGCAACATTGCCCTGAGCTGGAGGCACTTTGTCTATGTTGTTCCCAGTTGCCCGACAGATAGAGCGACAATGAAATACACGGTCAATCGATTCCGCATCACACCAACCAATGGCTCAATCAAGCTCGAACAGAAACAGTTTCAAATGGTGGCAGATTTAACAAGGTTAGCACAAGGAGAGCCTGTTTTCATTACGCCCAGGCTTGACTACGCTAACTAACTCGCTGCTCACGGGACTCCCCAAATCTTCCCTCCACAAGCTGAAGATTATTCAGCACCCCGCAGCTCGTGTTCTTTCCTGCACTAATCTCCATGAGCTGATCACCCCCCACCTCCCCAACCCCATCCTTGCCCAGCTGGCTTCATTGGCTCGCCATCCCCCAGTGGATCGAGTTCAAGATTCTCGTCCTCACCTTTAAAGCCCTCCATGGTCTCCTCCCTACCACTGCGACTTACTAAAACTTTACCAACCTGTCCGCTCCCTCTATTTATACCAGGAATGTATCCAGGGTAATTTCCAGCCCTAATCGTTTCATTTAAAGTGAGCAGATTTATCAGCATAAACGTTATTGACTCAGCAATGAACCTGTCCGCTTCATATTGAGGGATGGGCATTTTCATATCATAATTATCGTGTGACCATACTTGAGGACTCCTGAAATTGAGTCAACGTGAACAACAGCCACACGTTTAAGCCGCACTGAAAGAGTTCAGGCGATAATACGCAGAGTCCCAGTCATTCCACATGACTGCAGAATCACGCTCACCTACTGTAACAGGGGGAAAGTTCCTCTTTTCCTCAACAATCTTTGCTGTGAACCCCTCTCCTCCCCTCCCCTCCCTTTCGAGTGAAGTTGCCAATGGAGGGAGTATTAAGGTGCACTGTGGACCAACATCTGGTTATAGAAACTGGTTGTAATTCTCATTGTCTCATCTGGATCGATGTGAAAAGGTCGCTGCAGATGAGGAGCCAGTCATCAACACTAATAGTACTTTATTGTAATAATAATGATAATAACACTGGGAGAAACTCGCTGCTCTTTTCGACTAGGCTGTGGGATCTTTCGCCTCCACCCAAACAGGCTGATGGATCCTCAGTTCAATGTCTCATTTGAAGGATGGCACCTCCGATAATGTGACTCACACACATGCCCCAGCACTGCACTGGAATACCAGCTTTGACGGTGTGATTGCAGGTCCTGACGTGAGGGTTTGAACCCACAAACTGGTGTTTCCGAGATGAGAGAGCTATCACTGTGCCAGGCTTGTGGATGGAGCAGGAAGGAGCTGGAGCCACCAGGCAACAGCAGCGGTTCATCTCTAACACAGGAACTTACAGCTTGCGACCATGAGGTGGGCGAATAGCACCTGGATTCGATGACTTGGAATTTCAGACGCCCAACGTCTTAACTGCATTGTTAAACCAGCAAAAGGCAAAATACTGCAGATGCTGGAAACCTGAAATAAAACCAGAAGTCGCTGGGAACAACACAAGGTCACCGACCTGAAACGTTAACTCACTTTCCTCTCTCCATAGACGCTGCCTGACCTGCTGAGCGTTCCCAGCCACTTCTGTTTTTATTGTTAAACCGGCAGTTCACCTGTTACACACTGCACTACAGTGGCCCATCTGCGAAATGTCAAACTCAACCCACGTGATCTATCGGTCGGTGGATCTGACTAGCAGCAACAACAACAACAACTTGCATTTATATAGCGCACTTCACGCCCATCCTGGAGCGCTTTAACCATGCGCCTTGAAGCCATGACATGAAAGCAAAGCATCCTCTTAAGATAATACCCCATTCCTCTGGCACTTACTGGTGTCTCAGTGTGTGTGAACGTTGACCCAAATGTTCGAGCGTGCTTTGCCATTGTGTGGTCACCCACCACCAGACTGTAGCCGGGCTCTTAACTGATTGGAAGCCGTGGCTTCTTAAGATCCCCCCCCCTGAGATCAATCAAAGCCCCGGAACTAAATGCTCCCTGTTCATTCATTCATTCATTCATTCATTCAATTCATTCATTCACTGCATGACGCCAAACACTCACCGAACAGAAGATTCAGAAGCACCTCCTGCCCTGCTGGGGTGATGCTTTTTGCCAGGCAGAAAACGGTTCCCCCAATCCAGGGGATGCCGTGACCGGTCAGCCCAATGAGCCTGACCATGGGGCGAGCACTACTCCAGGCCGAAGAGCTGCCAGCGCACACCCCCATGCTTTTGGACAGGCTGATATCAATGGCCAGCAAGGAGTTAATGGCAATCCCTTTGAAAGAAGGGTTGAGCTGCATGCAGTCCTCCTCGGGTAGCAGTGTGGATTCCCTTCGCTCTTTGTTGCTGTCGTTCTGAGATTGCTGCTGCTGCTGCCCTAGTTGTGCGCCCGGTTTCCTGGCCGAACTTCTCCCCTCCTGAATGGGTCTCATGGGCTGGTTCAGAGACATGAACTCGGGTCTGTGTAAAGCATTGTTCCGCTCCCTGAACCTAGATCTGCTGCTGTTTTGAGCAGGCATTGCAGCGTCCTTTTTTGTTCCCCCCACTGAGTGTGTTTTCTTAACAACTCTTGTCTTCGCAAGCCAGGCAGCTGAGATCCTTATCTGCGCTGTACCCAGGTTCCATCACCAGTTAAATTTAGACTGAAGGAATCCAGAGCTCTCTCCACCAGGCTCTCAGCTAGCTTGACAGCTGCACATGTTGTATTTGACGGACATCAGTAATACCAACCAGAGGGTATTATCTGGTTGCAAAGAGCCAATGGTGAAAAGGCAAAGGAGGATCTCAGACAGGGATTTAAATTCACTTGGTTCATTTTGTTGGGCATGTGGGGCACTCTGGGACCTGTAGTCCCAGTTGTTGGAGCCACTTGTCCATCCAGGGTGACCAAAAAGCCGTGATACCATTAATAAGTCGGAAAGAAATCATGATAAATATATATTTTTTTTAAATATAGATCATAGAGTAATTATCATGACCCTGTATAAAACAGACTTTATTTATCAAAGTTTTTTTTTTGCAGGAGTAAAACCGATGCCAAATAGAAATGGCAAGAAACTAATCAATAATAATAATCCTTGCACTTGATATAGTGCTCTATCACATCATTGAAACAGGATATATTGTAAAGTGGATTGGCTGTGTATTTTATGGGCAAAACCAATTCACAATTGGATCCAGTTCCCCTTTGAACAATTATCAATTTAAGGGCACAAGGAGAATATTGGCGAGAGCTCAGATTTGAGGAACTGTTTGTGATTAACCAGCTAAAGCCGCAGAGCTTGCATTGAGAGCACTAGCCGACAAGCTTCCTGTTTTTCCAGTTTTCTCTATAGTGTAATGACACTGTAATTTGTAGGAAAACACGGTAGCTGCCAATTTATGCTCAAAAATGCCCCACAAACAGCCAATGCCTGACCATGAGCTCATAGTCTGATGAAGACTATAACCTAAAAGTCTCAAAATGAAGCCAGAGCTCTCAACCTTCTCACCCACAAGCTCGAGGGTGACAAACTGAGCCAGGCCAAGCTGACACCTGAACATGTCATTGTAAATAATCCGATTTTGTTTTAGTCAGGAATCTTTCATAACACCCCAAGAGCCTCCTCCCACCCCTCTCCCCCCCTTACAAAAAAATGCAAATGTTATTATTAGCCTGGATACGTTGATAGCACTCTTGCCTCTGAGTAAAAAGGTTGCATGTCGGGGACTTTGAGCTCATAGTCTAGACTGACACTTCAATCCAGTGCTGGGGGGAGTGCTTCATTAAACCAAGGTCCAGTCCAGTCTGTGCCCGTTCAGGTAGATGTTAAAGATCCCATGGTACTATTCATAAAAGAGAAGGGAGTTTCTCCTGGTTTTCTGACCAACAATCTTTGATTTAAATTGATCATTCACTTTATGGTTACTTGTGGGACATTGCTTCGCCCAAATTGGCTGTCGTGTAAAATACACAGTCAACTACACTTTACAGTAATAAAATCCCGTGAAGCGCTTTGAGTTTTTTTTTGACAATGTGCTAAGGCACTGTATCAAATGAAAGGATTATTCATTTCAAATAAGTCAATTTGTTATAATGTTAATTAAATAAAATACGCCGAAAAGTTGTTCGAGAGTAAGAGCAGATGCGGATGGAGAGGATTAAATGTGGAGACTGGTGTAAGGAATGTTGTGTATCCCCTGACATTAATTGTACTTAATTACTGTCTTGATGCCTCTGTTGGTTTGTTTGATAATCTTATTTACAAGAGGCCTTCTTTCATCCAGTTTAATGGAGCAGATGATGGAGACACTGGTGGTTATGCTGTGTTTACATGCTGATCACAGTCCTTCTTCAATCACCATTAAATAATTGCTAAAACACTTCTCCAAAAAGAAAGGGAGTTGCACCTGGTGGCCTGCTCAACAATCCCCCGAAGACCAATTGGTCACTCACTTCACGGTTGTTTGTGAGACCTTGCAGCGTGCAAATTGGCTGCCATGTTCGCCTTCAAAATACACACTACACATCATTGCAATTTCCTTTCAAGCGCTTTGAGGCATTTAGATGTTATGAATGCTACATCAACTATATTAAAAATAATAATTTTCCCTATAATAATAATGACAATCCTTGCATTTGACATAGCTCCTTATCATGCCTTCGAGACGTCTCAAAGCGCTTCACAGAATTTACTGTAAAGTGAATTGACTGTGTATTTTGTGGGCGAAACACGGCAGCCAATTACATACAGCAGTGTCCCACGAACGGTCGCCTGTAAACAGACCATAAACACAGGTGTCTCTTATTATTAATAATAATATATGAAGATTATAATTCAATCAGAGACGCATTCATAATAATATAATAACACCACTAAGCAGTAGACACAGAGTTACAGCAAGGTTATCCTGATTATTATTATTAATAATAATTAAAATACAGAAAATACTCAGCTGAAAGGAGCCATATGTTTGAATTGAGGAGGAGGGGGAATCAAGCAGAGGCCAAACCCAAAGAAAGAGAGGAGAGATCAGAACATCGAGTACCATGATTGATTGAGCTATGTGATGACAGGCCGATCTTTGCTGACAGATTCCCCTCCCGTGGCAGTGAGGGACCCAAAGAAAAGATTTAAGCACAAGTCAAAATACTTCTCCATGTTAAGAAATTAAACGTTAAGAGATTCCATGACACTGTTTGAAAAGTGAAGAGCGTTTCCCCCGACCAGACTCCCGCACATAAAATGAATCAGAGACATTTGTCCTCTGAAAAACTGGTCACCACAGCACATGAACTCACTTCCTCTTCAAAAACCTTGTGATATCATCACCGGCTGAATTTTTTTTTAGCAGAAAGCAGTTAGACGCAGGGTTAAAGTGAGGTTGTCCTAACTCTTAATGGGCACTATCATATTACTGTACTTCTGCTGTTCTTTTAAGTGCAGTGTGTTTAGAGGGCTAGATCAGTGAAGGGCTGGCTCCATCCCCATGTTTTATTTTGCTATGAGAAGAAAGGAATCCCAGTGTAACTCAGGAAGACCTTGGCTTGGCCCAGTGATCAGAACAAGTTCCTTTTTGTGGTGGAGTTACACACTCATTGCTCAAAAGGAATTTTTCAAAACAAGTTTGACAAGCCGTGGCAATTGGCTGAAATCATGAGCTAGATGTGGAGCCGGGGGTGTCCAAAGATTCTCCGAAGACTTTATAATATTAATAATAATCCTTGCATTTAATACAGTACCTTATCACCTCGTCGAGACGTCTCAAAGCGCTTCACAGGCTATTCTGTAAAGTGGATTGACTGTGCGTTTTGTGGGCGAAACGCTACAGACAGTCGAGCACAAAAATGTCTCACAAACAGTCATGGAGTGAGCGACCGATTTTATTTGGGGGACTGTTGGGTCAGGACACCGGGAAAGAAAAACTCCCTTCTCTTTTCGAACAGGGCAATGGAATCTTTACCATCCACCTGAACGGGCAGATAGGACCTCAGTTTAACGTCTCATCCGAAGGACGGCACCTCCGACAATACAGCTCATCCCCAGCACTGCATTGGAGAGTGATCTTAGACTGCCCACAGTACATTTGCTCTGCTCCGTGTACGCTTGTACGCTGCACCTGAACATCCTGCAGTAATCCCAGCCCAAACCGCAACTTCCTTATAGCAAGACTGAGCTGAAGGGAAGAACAGAGCGAGAGAGAGAGAGAGAGAGAGAGACGAGGCTGTAATAATTGGTTTCAGATCTGAATGGTGCAGGATGATTCAGTGTCAACCTCAAGAAAAGTCTGTGGTGCATTTAGCTGGGAATCTCGATCAATATCTGCGTGGGCATTGGATGAAATGCCTTCCAAACTGTCCAGGGAAACTGAAGGGTATTTATGTAGGGTGGGGGTGGGGAGAGGAGGTGGGGGGGTTGTGTGTGGGGGGGGGGGGGGGGGGTGATGGCGGAGGATGAGGGAAAGAGAGGGGGAGATCCCCAATCGTGAAAACACAATATTATTTTCAACATGGAGAATGATAAATGATAAATTTGGGATCTTTTGAACGAAACCCTGTCGGAAATTCACCTGCTTTCTTCTTAGCAAATCTTATTTACAGTTCCCCTCGTCTCCCTGTGAAAATACCGCAGGCACTGGCAAGCCAGTGGATCTCTCAGCCGCAGCCCTGATGACTGGGTTTGTGTGTGCTTGGTTTCCAGAAGATAAATCTAAATGAGAGAGTTCCAAGGGCTGTAAAAGGAGCTGAGCCCCAACGTGGCATATTTCTGCTCTATAAATAGGAGCGGGCTGGAGATGAGCAATTAGAGAAAGCTTAACTTAATTTTAACTGTGAGTAAAGTGGCCCCCTATAAACTCTTTCTTCGTTCTTTATAATTACAAGTGTCGCAAAAAAAGGTCCGTTTACCAGAACCAAGCAGGTTTCCTTTGTCTTTGGCAATACAGAATTTCCTCCAGAGAAGTCAGATTGATGCCACGTTGACAAACTCCTTCATCAATGAACTGCCGAACTGTTTGCTTCACAGCAGTCCTGGTGCATACGAGGTCACGTGCAGATTAACACAGGATTTAAGCGCTCCGAGACACTGTCCGACCCACCCACCCTATCGGTGCACCCCACTCTGCACTAATGGGTGCGTGGGCACGAGGGGATGAAAGTCATTTGTCGAGGGAAGGAGCCAAGTTGAACAGTGGAATTAAATGAATTTTATGAATATTTATGATTGGTTGCCTTGGGGATTTGGGGGATTATCTGTCCATGTTTACTTGGGAAAGTTGAGCTGGACTGCCAGGGCTGATGGACCCACATCCAGCAAGTTAGTCAGTACTTCTGGGACGGGAGGGGAGAAACTAGGAGCTGGAAAAACAAAACGAACAGAAAGCGCAGCACAAGTTTCTTCATCGGACTCTGTTTAAACGCCATACCAACCTACCCGCTCCCTCCGCTCGGCGGGCAGTGGCCTGCTTCATGTCCCCTGCCCTTGCCCTGCTATGCCCGAACATTGGCAGTCGGGCATTCAGTCTTTCTGCCCCCCACCCTCTGGAACTCCATCCCGGAATCCCTCCGCCTTGCCCCCCACCTTGCCTCCTTCAAGGCCTGTCTCATGACTTGCCTCTTTGATCAGCATTTCAGCCACCCTCCAACCCTCTTGATCCCGACCCCCCAACTCTGGTTCATTAAACCCTGAATAGTCCAGAGCCTCGGGACATCCTTCCGACATGAAAGCTGCTGTACAAATGTAATTTCGTTGCTGTTGTTGCGGTGGTGTTGTTGACGTCCACTCAGACGGATATTCTGGGCCAGCTCGCTGCAATAAAAACACACATAAAATGAATAAAATCACATTGTAGCTTGAAATGGTGGAGCTCAGCTGGGGAGCAGTGTTCAGCCCCAAGTGTCTCTGGTTCAGAGGAAAGGAAATCAACCAAATCAAATTCAGTTCTTTTTTGTTTTTCGGCGGCTCACGTTTCCCAAAGTCAAGTGTGTCTCCAACGCATTCACGGATCCTCGTTGTTTAGGTGGGGGGGGGGGGGGCGGGGGGGGCGAGGGGCGTGGAAAGGGATCCACGTGTCAATTCTCTCCGTTCAGAAAACAATCCACCGCCACCACCACCACCAGAAGACAACATCCACCTTCCCCTCCTGCCCGCCGCCGGTGACTTGTCTGCCCTTCCAGGTCCTGCCCATGAAGCCAGACTGGCTGCGGTGTCATCAGCGGCGCCCTGGAATCCGAAGGGCTCAGCGAGACCAGACCAGAGACCGCCGCAGAGGGCCGGCTCCGTCCCGCCATTCCCTTGCCGGGGCACGTCCCCTGTTCCGATCCGTGTACCTCCTTCCCCAAGGAGGACAGTCTGAAAAAAAGGTCTAAGAGGGAGAGAAAGAGAGAGAGAGAGAGAGCAAACTACACATCCCATACTGCTCAAAGCTCTGAAACCCCGGAAACAGCCTGTATCCAGTTGCATAAGGATTAAAGGGCTCCAGTAATGATGAGATGATGGCATTTTCCAGCTCCTGAGCGCTGTAGTTACAGGGACAGTCCATCCCCAGTCAGAGAGGAGCAGCTTCAATGTGGGGGGAAAAGGGAGTAACAAGACTGCAGTGTATAGCTCCTGTGGGGGTGTGTTGGAGGGGGAGAAGGGAGAGCACTGACTGACTGACTGAATGAATGACCTCCTGATGTTCTTGGCCAAAAGAAGTGTAACAATCCGTCTTTTATTGTCTAATAATGTGAGCGACGTTGCCAGTGACTGTCTGTGTGAGTGGGTGAGTGGGTGTGTGGGAGAGGTCTGACTGGATAGAGAGAGACAGCAACAAAGAGGGGGAGAGAGAGAGAGAGAGAAAGAAAGAGAGAAAGAGAGAAGAAAGAGAGGAAGAGAGAAGAAAGAGAGGAAGAAGAAGGTGGACTTCAGACAAGAAAGGGAAAGTGGCTCCTTTTGGAAACAGCTCTCACTCCAAGTGCTCAACAGTGACCACCACCACTAACACCAACAACAACACCACCACCAACACCAACAACAACACCACCACCAACACCAACAACAACACCACCACCAACACTACCACCACCACCAACACCAACAAGAACAACAGCAACTCCTGCTCCAAGACTCATCAGTGCAAAAACAAACCCAACCCCAGACTCTCCTCTCTCTCCATCAACCAGCTTGAAACCTGAGCAAGAGAGAGAGAGAGAAGAGAGAAGAGAGAGAAGAGAGAGAGAGAGAAGAGGAAGAGAGAGAAGAGGAAGAGAGAGAGAAGAGGGAGAGAGAAGAGGAAGAGAGAAGAGGGAGAGAGAAGAGAGTGAGAGAGAGAGGAGGAAGAGAGAGAAGAGGGAGAGAGAAGAGAGTGAAGAAGGAGAGAGAAGATAGAAGAGAGAGAAGATAGAAGAGAGAGAAGATAGAAGAGAGAGAAGATAGAAGAGAGAGAAGATAGAAGAGACAAGAGAAAGCAATTGGATCCTTTCTCTCTCTCTCTCTCTCTCTCTGTGTGTGTCTCTGTCTCTCTGCAGATGGCACTTTGCAACTCAACTCAAGTCGACTCAGGAACCTGAGCGCAGTCCCTGAGTCAGTCCACAGACGCAGCTCTTTCCTTCGCTGCTTATCTTCTTTCTGCAAAGGAGGGGATGGGGATGGGATGGGGAGGGGATGGGGAGGGGGAGGGGAGGGGGAGGGGGTGGGGATGTGTGGAGTGGGGGAAGACTTTTACTTTCCTTTTCTGAATTTCATCTGATATCACTGACTTAAAAGAGGATCGAGTCCTCTCTGCCTTTCAGACCAGGAAATTAAAAGGGGGAACTTTTTAAAGACTTTTTTAAAAAAAAATATATATATACAGTGTATATATGTGTACAAAATTATATTTGTAATACACACACATATATATATATATAGTGTGTGTGTGTGTGTGTGTGTATATATATTGTGTGTGGATAAAATTCTCAAAGAGGATTTTATTTATTTATGGGGTGAGTTGTTTGTTTCTCTCCTCTCCCCCCAAAATAATAATAATAATAATAATAATGATGATGATGATGATGAATTAATCTGCACTCTCTGGGGTGTTTTTTTTTCTCTCTCTTGAATGAAAGAAAGGGAAGGAAGCAAGAAAGTGGATCGTGGGCAGGACTGGGGGACTGGGGGTGGGGGGGGGGAGGTTGGGCTGAATAGCGAAAGCAGTCGCAAACTGGAGTGCCAGACCAGCGAAAAGGCGTTGGGGCTCTGGAGATGCTGCAACGACGAGACTGAAATAGCGAAAGGAGAGGAGAGAGAGAGAGAGAGAAAAAACATATATATATAATATATATATATAGATCTATAACCCAAGAGGGAGTCCCTTTATAACGTGTTGGAAATGCTGCAGAAATGGCTCGGATTGCACTCTCCAGAAACGAACAGGAGTCTGTATTTTTAATGCAAGGATTGATGCTGATGCTCTGATGCTCCCTTTCTGCCAGTGAACGTGGTGCTGTTTTATTCTTTCCTATTTATTTTTTTTGGTGGGGTGGGGGGGGGAAAGAGAGAGAGAGAGAGAGAGAGAGAGCAAGGGGTGGGGGGGGAAAGAGGGAGAGAGAGTGATAGAGAGAGAGATTGGGGAGCTGGATCATTTGGGGTTTTTTTTTAAGTTGTTTTGAGTTCATTTTTTTTTGGGGGTGGGGAGGGGGGGGGGTTCAGGAAACACCCCCCTCACCCCATCCCACCATCAACCCAACCCCCCACCCCCCCCCCCCACCACCCCCCAAACCCACCCCAAAAGGAGCTGAGGAACAGGACAGGGACAGGAGTTGGAATTGCAATTGGAGTTTGTAAAGGGGGGGGGGGGGGTTGGTTGGTTGGTGTGTGGGGTAGGGTTAGGGTTTAGGGGTAGAGGGGGAGAAGGGGGGTGGGGGGTAGTCAACCCTTCTTTGGAGGCTATTCTAGCCTCCCTCTCATCCCCTCATCCCCCCCCACCCAAACACACACACACTTCAATGCTTCCTCTGCTGAGCTGCTGTGTGCTGCTGTGTCTCTGGCCCCTCTCTGCCTCCCTCCAGCATCAGCACCAGCACCAGTCGGGTTGCGGAGAGATGGGTTGCATCAACAGCATCACCTGCAAGCCGCAGATCTGCCGAGAGACCATCTCGGTGTACGAAGTGTCCGCCAGCATCGACGCTCACCCCACGTCCATCGACGAGTCCTCCGAGATCGTGCTGCGCTACAGGACGCCTTATTTCCGAGCCTCAGCCCGGGTCTGCATGCCCCCTGTGCCCAGGCACCACACCTGGGTGGTGGGTTGGATCCAGGCTTGCCAGCACATGGAGTTTTACAATCAATACGGAGACGCAGGCATGTGAGTAACGAGTGTGTGTGGGGGGGTGGGTGTGTGTGTGTGTGTGGGGTGATGGTGGAGGGGGCGGTGGGTAGTGGTGGGATTTGGTGGCGGGGGGCGCGGTGGGAGAGGACAGAGTGTGTGGTGTTGTGTGTCAGAGACAGTTAACAATAATAATCTTAATAATCTTTGCATTTGATACAGCGCCTTATCTCTGTAGCTCCGACACGCTAAGTAACCCCCCTCACCCACCCTTTCCCACCCACCCCCCCACCACCCCTGCCGCCCCCGGGTGAAGGGCGCTATATTAATTCCAGCTGTCGCACACACGGTCTTGTTCTTACCGCCTCTTCGAGAGGTCTCCAAGCGCTTCACGGGATATAATGTAAAGCGAATCGACTGTGCCGTGTATATTGTGGGCAGAAACTGGGGCAGCCAATTGTGAGAATGAATGGGGCTGCCCAGGTCTGACAGGGAGCGCGTGTGACAGTCGGGTAAATGTGACCCTCTTTTCCCCCCACCTCCCCGATCTACATCATTCTCCTGGAGTAAATTAAACCCGCTTTTGACCCGGGTCAGCCGGGTTCACTGAATTGCGGCCGGCGCTTAAGTGGAGCTAAAAGAGCGGGTAACTGCAGAATGTCTGCATGGATACAGAGTTCTAAAGGGCTTTTATTGATTGAGACGCCGCCTCTGAGTCACAAGAGCAGGAACTCCTTCTGACTCTGCAGCACTATGGTTTCTGATCCTGCGTGTGTTTCAGTGATGGTTTTGTGCCACGTTGAGCGAGCGAGCGAGTGAGAGACTTGGGTTGCCAATTGAGTGTTGACCTTTGACAACAGTGATCGATCAGGAGGGGTGTCTTAACACTAAGCCTTTCTCCCACAAAATACACAGTCAATCCACTATGTCCTGTGAAGCGCTTTGAGACATCTCGACAATCTGATAAGGCGCTATATCAAATGCAGCAATTATTATTATTATTATTACTCCTAGGCTGCAACAGTGAATATACCTCAATGAAATGAGGCTAACTGAACACACACAGGAGAGTCTCCAACTTGCATCTCACCACCTTATAGACGACGCGTTGCTCTGAATAATTTACCAGCCGCACTGGGCTATTTAGCGGTATAATTAATGACACTATTCGGTTACAATGGATCCCAAAGCCACTCATATTAATGACTAGTGTTCTGTACAGTAATAAAAGGCTTGGTAAGCAGTTGGTACGATTAGTGTAAGGCTGCCGCCACTGGAAGCGTTGCTATGTTGTATTTAACAAAAGTCACAGCTTTCGGTCGGCCCGGGGTTTGACACATGCAGAAATCCATCGCCACCCTTAAGAGTATCCCAACCAAACTGAGCCTTCCGTGGGGATTCCGCAGGTAGACTGTCAAAACTAAATTGTTGTCAGTTGTAAATAAATTGTAATGAGAGGTAAAAGTCACGGTATCTATCTGCAGGTTGTGTGTTCCCCACCAAGTGTTGACTTTCACGGTACATTTGTTAGTTATAGGACACAGCTTTTTATAACTGCTGTGTTAGCTTGGTAAGATCCAGTGCAGTGCTGCGAAACAGTCTGGATTAACCGCTGACAACTCGACTCTGCCTTAACTTGTCTCTACCCCTGATAAGTCACCATCCGTCACCCGGATAACCCGTCCCTGAGCTTTTTCCCCGGGAGTGACGAGTTATCAGAAGTTTACTGTATTAAGTACAGCCCTAACCGGTCTCTATGGAAGCACATTCCTGTTAGTGTTCCCATTTAGCCCCGCTTGCTTCAGTATAGTATTAAATGCGTATTAAATATCTGTTGTACAGTGTCCCTCACACATACCAGGGATGAACTGTGTGGTTGATAAAATTAACTCAACTCTGCTGTGACCGAGCATATTTCAGCGGGTTTATTAACAGGCCTGATTAACTCTGAAACCACTTTGATCGGATAGCGTTTCGCAAGCACCAACCATCATCAGGCTGGCTTTGCTGCCCCTATCTTATGACACAGGGCTGCAGTACCACTGGATGACATATATAAAGAAGTGTTTAGTTACAGACATCTCTCGGTCGAGTGCCATCTGACTGTGAAAGCTACAAGACTGGAACCGAGTTAACAGAGAAAATGAGCTCCACTGTGTGATGTGCTTTCAAGGCTACCGTCTTTCAGCCCTGAAAAGCTCCCCCCGCTAAAGCGATTTAGATGCACTAAAAATCTAACGAACCACAGCACCAAAAGCGAACAGTTCAAAGCGGGGCGTTTGAGGTTTTTCGACTTCACTTAGCGAATTCAACAGCACTCTTTGCAGAAACAGCCGTGGAAAGAGGTGGTGGGGGGGGGGGGGGGGAGGAATTGATAGTTTAATATACTCTGCACTATTTGGCTCTCGTCCTGAAATGAATCCCCTGAGGTTCTGCGGTTGAATTATTGGAATAAAATGATTGGCATTAAACTGCCTGGGATCATCCCAGTGTCAGCGCTCTCTGTAAAGTTTGCACGGAAGGAAAAGGCAGTGAATAAACAGTGGTAAATGTCACCTTTAAACAATTGTGACTCGTAAGCTCTTTAATGCCTCTCTCGCTCGCGCTCTCTCTCTCGCATGATCTGAAAACTCTTGGCTCATTTTGATGTCAGTAACCTGGAGGTTGTATTGAGGTGGGTGTCGGGTGGGGAGTTTGGGTAAGACTTGAGAGTAAATAACAGGAAGTGTGTTTTATTAACAGCATCCTACCTCTCAATGTTACACCCTGTATTAGAAACAGCAGCAGCGTGTAATTTAAGCACATTCTGGGCTCTGGCTAACATTATACCTCTGTTTTGAGCTGCTAATTCTAAGCACTCTGTATTCAGCTCAGGCTACCAGGCTCTCTATTTTATTAATACAGGACAAGCAGCGGGAAAGCTTGCCAGACAGTGCTATCAATGGTTAGCTTTGCAGTTTTAGCTGGTTAGACTCTAGTAGTTACTCCAACGCACACTCTGGGGTCCCCAAGGCTTGGCTCTTGCCAACCTGCGCCCAATACTTTACGGAATTAGGTAAGCAGGATACGCCCCTCCTGGAAGAGAGAGAGAGAGCGCATTCCACTCCATCAATCTATCTCTGTGATTTCCATGCGTATACAAGGAATTCTCAGTTTGGTTTGGATACTCTGAAGCACGGTGATGGGGTTTCCACACGTGTCAGACACTTGGCTGAACCCCCCCCCACCCCCCCACAACAAAAAAAAATTCTGCCCGGCTGTTAGAATCTTGTATAAAATAAATTTGGGCAGATTTTACCCAATTGGCAAAGTCACCCGTAAATGACAACGAAGGCTGGAGAGAGGACATAGAAACAGCAGGAGGCCATTCAGCCCGTCCAGCCTGTTCCACCATTCTGTAAGATCATGGCTGATCTGCACCTCAAGCCCTTGCCCCGTATCCCTTGTTACCTTGACCTAAAAAATATCTATCCACCGCAGTCTTGTGATGTGATAACAGGAGAGAAAGTGTGACATTCCTCTGGAACTCCACTGTCTAAATTTAGAAGAACTTCAGAAAACCTCTCCAGAGAGGCGAACACTGACTTTACTGACATTGCGATCGATTCAATCGAAATGCTTAAAAAAAATACAAGTGCCAACCATCACAACAACTTGCATTTATATAGCGTCCCTCGTGCAGGGTAGAGTCTCGGAGCGTTTTACAGTGGCTGAGGTGGGAATTTTGGCAGACAGCGCTCTCAATGGCAAGCTACGCGATTTTAACTGATTAAATTCCAGCAGGCCACAAATCTTTGCTCTTGCCAACCCGCTCCTAATCATTTCCAGAGTTAGGTAGGCAGAGTGCGTCCCTGCAGAGAGAGAGAGAGAGAGAGAGAGAGAGCGCACAGTGGAGTCCTGTAGCTCAGTGGTTAGAGCACTCGCTTTGCCAGCGAGAGACCTGAGTTCAATTCCAGGCAGAGGGCGAAACCTTGGGCAAGTTTCCTTACTCCACACAGAGCCTAATAATAATCCCTCCAAAACAAAAAACAATAATAAATTGGTCATTTTCAATCTACGACTGTTTGTGGGACATTGCTGTGCGCAATTGGCTGCCGCGTTCGCCCACAAAAATACAGTCAATTCACTTTACAGTGTGTTCTGTGAAGCGCTTTGGGACGTCCTCCCGACGTGAAAAGCGCTATATCAAATGCAAAGATTATTATTATTCCAGACACACGGAAATTTCCACATGTAGGTGGCACACCTGGAACTCTGTCTGGTGTGGATACTCTTAAGCATGGTAATGGGTCTTAAGCATGTGTCAGACACCTCTATGTTTCGTAGAGAACTGGATAAATAACGGGAAAGGAAACATTTAAGAATACTGGGAAAGAGCAGAGATTGGGGATTCGAGTAGCTCCGGTCAAGAATCTTACACCGACACAGCTAAAATGACCTGAATAGCCTCCGTCTGTGCTGTATTTTCCATCATTCTATGTCTCTATTCTCTCGAGGGGTATGGTAATTCTGAGCAGTAATATATTAAGTACGGAACATCAGTGTTTCTGTGCCCTTGCCCTAAAAGCCCGTAGAATCCCAACATATGCTCCTTATTGAGCAGCCTACAATTGAACTGCTCCGTTGTGTCCTCTGAAATTAGCGAAAAATGGAAACAACTGGAACTTTTCCCCTTTTATCTCAAATGTTTCAACCTACCATAAAGACATCTTACAGCAAATGCTCACTCTATTCCAGTCAAGTTTGCTCTCACACACTGCTGTGCGCAATTGGCTGCCGCGTTTTGCCCACAAGTATACATTCAATTCACTTTACCGTCTCTTCCGTGAAGCGCTTTGAGACTTCTAGAAGACGTGAAAAAGCGCTATATCAAATGCAAGGATTATTAATATTACTATATTTGGGAGGAAAAAGGTATGACTTGCGATGTTTGATATGGTTGGAAACTGCCAACTTTCCTCTACTGTGAAATCACAGAAATAGAGACATTTATAAGTGTGAAACCTTGTGAAGTGTGTGAAATGTCCATAGACTATCGC